CACACTGACTTCATTTTTATATTTTATGCAGCAACTACATTTGGAGATTAATTAGACTTGCATCACAACTTGCAGTGTCTGAGTGCCACATGTACTATTAAATTGATCATGTACCCTAGCCACTTACATTGCCATCATACACTTAAGGGTGCCATCTTTGTAAGGGCCTGTTCACACCATCCAGTGCGTTCCGTGACCTGAACCCACTGGACTGCTTAATCAAAACCCTCCCCTTGTTCTGGGGTGGTCACAGTGTACTGGTCACAGAACTGTAAGATGAACGCACTGGATTGTGTGAACGGGCCTTGAATTGTCCACTGGGAAACATTCAACCAATACAAACCGTTTGCTCCCTTTGATATCTCTTATGCCTTGTGCACTGGGGGTGGGAAAGGGTGTATCGGCAGCTTTTAGGAACAAGAATGTACAGTTCACTGCAAGGTGATGATGTTCCTTGATTGTTCACTGAGCAGATTTGTGACACAAAAAAAAAAATCAGATCTCTGGTAGCAGTGGTGTCACCCTTCTGGCCCTGTATTATTGCAGCAGAGGTTGATTCATAGTAGAAATAAATGTGTGAGAACCATTGTACTTGCATAACAAGTGACAGATTATGTTAGCAGGGAAATTCATTCACATATTTTTTCCAACTATGTATTTACGTGTTTGGATTTAAAAAAATTCTGCTGGCAGGATCTGGCCCTTTTAAGTTGATCTTAATGCCAGAATCCTGTAGGACACGGCCTGAAATCATGTGGTCACTGTAATGGACTGTCACAGTGATCACAAGAGCAGGAGCCCATCCTACCGTCTCCCCAGAAGCTGTCACAGTAACAAAAATCACTGTAATTGACTGTCAGTGATCACAAGAGCAGGAGCCCATCCTACCAGCTCCCCAGAAGCTGTCACAGCAGCAGCCACAGTGCAGTGACAGTAACAAAATCACTGTAATTGACTGTCAGCGATCACAAGAGCAGGAGCCCATCTTACCAGCTCCCCAGAGGCTGTCACAGCAGTAGTGCAGTCACAGTAACAAAATCATGTGGCCACTGTAATTGACTGTCACAGTGATCACAATGCAGAAGCCCATCCTACCGGCTTTTCAGGAGCTGTCACAGTAACTAAGTAAAAAAAAATGTGCACATTCCTTTTTTTTTTTTTTTTTTAATCCACACTGACTTCATTTTTATATTTTATGCAGCAACTACATTTGGAGATTAATTAGACTTGCATCACAACTTGCAGTGTCTGAGTGCCACATGTACTATTAAATTGATCATGTACCCTAGCCACTTACATTGCCATCATACACTTAAGGGTGCCATCTTTGTAAGGGCCTGTTCACACCATCCAGTGCGTTCCGTGACCTGAACCCACTGGACTGCTTAATCAAAACCCTCCCCTTGTTCTGGGGTGGTCACAGTGTACTGGTCACAGAACTGTAAGATGAACGCACTGGATTGTGTGAACGGGCCTTGAATTGTCCACTGGGAAACATTCAACCAATACAAACCGTTTGCTCCCTTTGATATCTCTTATGCCTTGTGCACTGGGGGTGGGAAAGGGTGTATCGGCAGCTTTTAGGAACAAGAATGTACAGTTCACTGCAAGGTGATGATGTTCCTTGATTGTTCACTGAGCAGATTTGTGACACAAAAAAAAAAATCAGATCTCTGGTAGCAGTGGTGTCACCCTTCTGGCCCTGTATTATTGCAGCAGAGGTTGATTCATAGTAGAAATAAATGTGTGAGAACCATTGTACTTGCATAACAAGTGACAGATTATGTTAGCAGGGAAATTCATTCACATATTTTTTCCAACTATGTATTTACGTGTTTGGATTTAAAAAAATTCTGCTGGCAGGATCTGGCCCTTTTAAGTTGATCTTAATGCCAGAATCCTGTAGGACACGGCCTGAAATCATGTGGTCACTGTAATGGACTGTCACAGTGATCACAAGAGCAGGAGCCCATCCTACCGTCTCCCCAGAAGCTGTCACAGTAACAAAAATCACTGTAATTGACTGTCAGTGATCACAAGAGCAGGAGCCCATCCTACCAGCTCCCCAGAAGCTGTCACAGCAGCAGCCACAGTGCAGTGACAGTAACAAAATCACTGTAATTGACTGTCAGCGATCACAAGAGCAGGAGCCCATCTTACCAGCTCCCCAGAGGCTGTCACAGCAGTAGTGCAGTCACAGTAACAAAATCATGTGGCCACTGTAATTGACTGTCACAGTGATCACAATGCAGAAGCCCATCCTACCGGCTTTTCAGGAGCTGTCACAGTAACGATGCTGGCCGTATGCATAAATGTGGCAGCATGGCACAAGGCTCATCGCCATGCTGCCACATATATGCATACAGTGAACGAGAAGGTGTTAAGATTGTAGGGGTTTTTAGTGTTTCCTGTTGTAAAGTGTTACAGAATATGATAGCATTATGTAATTGTATTGCCAGGTGCTGACCAACTGCATCATGCAACTGAAACAGCTGGAAGAGGACTCTGTGGCTGGAGAGGATGGCAGCTGGCAGCCAGCCGGCGACGGTGAACATGAAAATGGAGAGTTGCCAGGTGATCATCAAATTGTTTAAAGCTGAACTCCTGTTAGACATAAAAGACACAGATAAATGCAGCTTTGTATTCATGCATTTTTTTTTTTAACTGCGAGCCATCAAAGTACCTGAATTTGACTTGATATCACCATCTTGCTGTCTACTGTACAAAAGACTTGATGAGTTGAAGCAGGGACAAGCAGCTGAAGGAGACAATCGGATTTGCCGTAGTTCTTATGTGCTAACAATGAACATGCTGATCGTAGTGACATGAGCCCATTAGTAGAGGTCAACCGATTATCGGGTCTACCAATTCGTTCTGACCGATATCAACACATTTTTTTATAATCGGTATTGGTCTTAAATTTACTGATAGGACCAATAAGTGCTGACAGTGAAGGGGAGCCTCCATGGCCCCATTCAACTGCCGGCGGCTAGATTCCTGATTGAAAGCAGGGAGTGGGTGGGTGCAATAGCCAGCCGGCAATTGCGATTTGAAATAATTTACATTCAGCTACCGGCTGCGGAATCTTACGCTGGCAGATGACCACATAGCCCGGTGACCAGGCTGCGTGTTCATCTGCCAGCACAAGTTTCCGCAGCCGGATGTTATCCGAATATCATCACCTGATATCCGTTATGGGCCTGAAAGATGGCCATAATCCGGTATATGTATCTGTTCTGATAAAATTATATCAGTCGACCTCTACTCATTAGTCTTTCTCCTTTCACTGTCCAGTCACAGGCTAGAGGAGGAACAAAACCTGTCACTGGATTTGCCAGATAGGGCTAAGCTGTGTGGCAGAGATATGAACATTTGAGAACTGGATGAACAGAAATAAAAACCCTTTGCCCTGTAAAACAACTCCTATTTGTGTATTTAGCTGCTTGCTTGGAGCTCATTTTTAAGACTGCGTGCTTCTTAGGATCGTTTGTCAGATGCCTTACCTTCAGTGTGGCTTTTTATTTCATATTTAGATAAACGCAAGGAAAAGATGAAGCTGCAGATCAAGCAAATGATGGACGTCTCACGGGTAATTATTACTGATATTACTACATACAGTATATATACATCTTGATGAAGAGGGCCTTGCATGAAAACATGACATTCTAACAGTGTAACTTATATTACTTACTTACGGTACCTATATGGCCTGGTGTAAAGATTTAACCCCTCTATATGCTGATTTCAGCTTTGCAATGGAGAAAATGCTGAACTAAAAAAGCCCAATTATTGCAGACATGTTTATCATGTAAAATGTGACTTGACACTCCCCTTCCATGGTTAGTTCTGATGCCCCTGACAAAGTCTTCCATTTATCCATTCGCACTCCACCGAATCTTAACTGCAGTCTGATTTTCCCACTGGGTCTTAGCCATGAATGATGATATGCGTATGGAGGAGCTTTTAGCTATTGACTCTGACGACAAATTTGATTTTTGTGGAAAGTATGGATACATTTTTGTACTTCCATCCTTTCTCTTTTCTTTTTTGGTTTTCTTTTGTTAGCGTTCGTCTTCTTTTTACTGGGTTTTTTTATTAGTATTGTTGGTAGTTATAATTAAGTGCCTTCTGTTACGTTTATTATTTAAGTTGCTCATCGATCGATGAGTGACTTGATCATTTGGTGAATATTTGTTTCTATTGAGCTTGGACATGCAGACTGATATCAGTATGCGTCTCTTTTTATTTAGTGGTTTTTGTTGTACTTCTTTATGCACTTTCACTTAACTGTTTCTATTTCGGCCCTTTTAATGCCGCCTCTGTATTACTGCATTTGTTCTTCCATAATGAAACCTTAATAAAAATAGATTTACCTGTAAGGGCCCTTTTGGTATATCCCTCTTTTCCCTCCTCCCCCCCCTTTTTTTTTTCACAATATACTTCACTTAGGAATGTTTTAATTTTGAATTCGTATACAGTGAATATATGATTTTCTGCACATTCACCTGGGATTGTTTGCAAAATATATATTGCATAGGCATTGTAAAAGTTGTACAAGATTAATTGATTGTTTTATGTGGTATGACGGATTTAGCTGCTGGTGGGGTTCCTTAATGTGTCTTGTGGATTTTATACTTTGAAAAATGAATAAATACATATTAAACATTAACTATGCAGCCTGCTTGGCACCATACAACCTTTTTAAAATCATAGGTGCATGCAAATCCTGGTACGTATGCACGCCACGATCTCCATTCACCCTGAAGATAAGAGTTTGATCTGTGGCAAAGCCAGTTTGCTTATTCATTCAGCTCTGACAGTACGTCAGCATGTTACAGAATGTATGGAACCATTTGCCTCAGTCATTAACCCTCAAAGGAGCTCACAGGTTGATGTATCCCTGCCACACAAATGCATGCGTTAGTTTGGTTGGATGCTAATTAAAGTGTTATATTAAAGTTAATAAAAGGGTCAGTGTCAATATTCTTGAACCTTTAGGAGAAGCCATCTGCCTCAGGGTCTGACAAGCCCGCTGATTCCACGCTCTTTCTAGGTCTGGCTGCAGCAAGGGTTAGGTCCTTTTGTGAGTCATTGATTATCTGCTTCTGTCTGATCGGCCAGTCACAGGGCTTGAAAGACTAGTATTTATTTTTGGTATAGAGGGAGAAAGCCAGATCGCATGAAGCAACTAGTGCAAGAAATTAAAAAGGCTAAGCAGATACAGTGTTGTTCTTAAATTGGCCACCAGTTGGGGATTGTAGTGGCCAAGTTATAGCTATGTCCTGCTGACAATTCCAGTGTGTGTGTACAGTGTGTGTGTACAGTATTTGTGTGTTTGTACAGTATATATACACAACTGTCGAGTTATCGTCACAACTGTAGGATGTGGCTGTGTACCTTATGTTGGTGAGAACAAATTCGGCAAAAAGATTACGGTCATTATTTAGGTCTAAAAAAAAAAAAAAAACATTTTTGCCTTTTCAGGTCAAAACAACACTATCAATAATTGAGGAAGAAAAAGATTTGTACCAAAGGAAGCTGACGGATGAGATTTCTGCTCGACATGAACTAGAAGGTTGGAAACAGTTTTTTAGCTGTTTGGTTGCCTTATTTTTGTTTTGCCTAAATGCATCCAAAGATTATAAAGTACAGAACCTTTTACACCAACTTACCCCAATATCCTCACCACAGTTATACAGCCATATGCACTATATTGCCAGTTTGAGGCTAAAAACAACTACCATTGTGTTTTGGCAATGAGGGAGGAGACCCGTAGAGATGGAATGTCTTGTTGGAATTGAACCAAGAGTCCCATAGTTGCCTGACAGTAGCACCTGACCACTAAGCCTCTTCATTGTCCAAAGACATTTTACAGTGGATGTGAACCATAACTGGATAACAGTCTGTTTGCTAAAGCATTGGGTATCATCTAATCACAATTGCTATGTTTTTTCTCATGCTTTTTTGATCCTTGATTTCATGTAAGTGCTGATCTTCTGCAGCCTCATTCTGCCAGTTCCTATCTACATGCCCTCACTCCAGCATCTCTTGCACCGGCTTTTCTGTGCAATGTATGTTGGCAAAGCCACTTGCCGTTGACAGGGTGACAACACAACCATAATTAGGAGACCGCTATCACGCCATAACAGGAAGTGCCTGAACAAGGAACTTTCTTGGCAGACCTCCAAATGTCATTTTAGTGAGAGATGCCGTTTTAAGAAGGCTGAAAACATCTTAAACATCTTGACATGTTAAAGCTTTTATGAGATTTTAGTGCAATCCCATTGTCATTGTAGGTTGAATGTTGAAATTCTAGATGGAATGAGTGAAAAAACTAACCTTTGTTTGAAGAAATAGTTATTCTTTTTTTTGGTACTTGTTCCATGTCTTTTCAGAGGAAATTAAGCAACTTCAACATGACAGCAGTTCTATTCACTCTGACAAAACACGACTGGACAACGAATGTAAAACCCTGCGCCAGAAAGTGGAGATCCTCACTGAGCTCTATCAGCAGAAGGAGATGGCACTGCAGAAGTAAGTATCATCAATGTGCAAATACACACAGATATATCATCAATACCTATTTCTACATTTATTGGGAGTGCTTTATTATTGTTTTATTTCTCTGGATGGCTTGCTGGAAACCCATCACTCCCACATGAGATGATGAAAGTGACTTTCAGTTTCCAAATTAAAGTGAAATTCCGGGCGTGTCAACCCCCAAAGCCCCCCTTTTCCCCTCCTCCCTGCCTTTCAACAACTCCAGAAACACAGTATTTGTTGTTGTTTTTTTAAACCCTATAGATACCGTGTTTCCCCGAAAATAAGACACTGTCTTATATTTTTTTTTGGCTCAAGAAAACACACTAAGTTTTTTATTTTTGGGGTAGGTCTTATTTTTTTTTTTAATGTACAAAAATCCAAATTAAATAATCCAAAAAGGTCAAAGTTAAGAACAGGGTGATCAGGGAAATCCGGGGTGCCGTTCCTTTCCATGAGCAATTTGGTAACCAATCGCTGGCCAGAATGAGTGAAGCGCACTTTCACTATCGATTCCTCACAGGCGGAGTGCATTTGATATCACTCCGCCTGTGACGGGAGCCGGCGCTATAGAGGAAACATTGGCTTGTGCGGCTCTGCTCCCTCCGCTGCCGCCTCGCTTCCTCTAGTGCTGGTATCGTTGGCACCGCTGATTCTCTCCAGTGGCTCTTCAAGTTCCCCCTTATGCCACCACCGGCCCTGGGAATGGTCACAACTAGGTCTTATTTTTGGGGTAGGTCATTACAGCCCTGCAATAAGCAGGTTTTCTGTGGTGCTTAATTTTACCCTAAATAGTTATAGTTACATAGTATTTGAGGTTGAATAAAGACACAGGTCTATCAAGTTCAAACTTTGTGTGAATGTGTGTGTGTACACGAGTCCCTGTGTGAACTTGTTTTTAAGAGTACCTGTACCCCTGTATGTTACGGTCTCTGAGGAAGGTATCTAAATGCTTTTTGAATGATTCAATACTCTCAGCTGATCCCACTGCCTGTGGCAGCGAGTTCCAGACCCTAACCGCTCTAACTGAAAAGAAGCCCCTATGCCCCTTGTGGTTAAATCTTTTCTCCACCAGTTTTAGGTGGTGGCCTCTAGTCCTTTTTATGGAGTTTACTGTAAATAGTTTATTGCTAATGTTGCCATCATGTCCCCTCTTAATTGCCTCACTTCCAGTGTGAACAAGTTTAAATTTAGTAACCTTGTCTCATAGCTTAGGTCCTCCAGCCCATAAATTAGTTTAGTTGCCCTTCTCTGGACTCTCTCCAGCTCAAGGACATTCTTTCTGTGGATTGGTGACCAAAACTGCACCGCATACTCCAGATGAGGCCGAACCAGTGATCTGTAAAGTGGCAAATGATCGATTTATCTCTACAGTACATTCCCTTTTTAATACAAGACAGGACTCTGCTAGCTTTGTTTGCTGCAGCCTGGTATTGCGTGCTGTTATTCAATCTGTGGTCTACTATGACCCCCAAATCTTTTTCCATTTCTGACTTCCCTAGTGGAGTTCCCATTAATGTGTATTCATCTTGTCTGTTTTTAACCCCAAAGTGCATTACTTTACATTTATCGACATTAAACCTCATCTGCCATATAGTTGCCCACTCCCCTATTTTATCCAGGTCCTCCTGTAATGTTATACTGTCCAAGTCTGTATCTATGACCCTCCCAATTTACTCACCTTTCCCACTGATGATGTCGCAGAAAACACCTCTGTAATGAGAGAAACTGCTGCCCAAAGGCTTTTCAGAATCTGACACTTCTAGGACAGTCTAGGATTGTCGATTTTCTGGTCTTCCCGCATATTTCAGTAGTTGGAGTTGCTGACTCCTACATCACTACTCTGTTCTGTAATGATGTAGTACTCAGCAGGAGGAACCACAGAGTGCAGTGGGAATACAGACATTTGGCACTCCCAGAAGTGTCAGATTTTGAGTCTTTTAGTGAGCATCACTTCATTATAGCTGTGCGGGTAGTGGGAGACGTGAGGCCCCTTTGATGTTTGTGTTATTTTAGTGTCAGAGTCACTTTAACATTTAGCACAGTCTTTTTATGTTCCTGTCCGGACCTGTGCTGTCATTGTAGATTCCCAGTGACATGAACTGATTTTATCCTCCTTTTGTGGTTTTTCTCTAGAAAACTGACCCAGGAGGAGTATGAGCGCCAGGAGAAAGAGCAGAAATTATCTGTGGCAGATGAAAAAGCCATCCTCGCCATCGAAGACGTGAAAATCTACAAGTACAGTATTGTCTCAATGTTACTGTATTACACAAGACCTGATACAATTGTCTAGGTGTTCCATATCATAATCTCTGGATCCCAATTAAGTGTTCCATGCATGTTCCTCCACTCGAGAGTACTAGAGCTGTTACACAGTACCGACTACATGGCAGGGCAGGGTGACTGTTAAATGTGCGGTCCCAGTACTCGGCTAGGAGAACTCTATTGGCCTAACAGCACAAGCCCAGTCCGCTTTCTCACTAGCAGAACGCTGAGCTCAGCCGCTCTTGCCATGTAGTCGGGACGGAGTGAGGGAGCTCACAAGAGCAGCACTAATCAAAGTAAGCATGATTTTTGAAAATGGAAGGCAGCGTTTTCACATACACTGTAAGCTGTAAAGTTAAAAGAGAACTATGGGGTAACCTTTTTATCCCATAGTTCTCTTAAGGGACACGGGAAGACATATACTAACCACCTCCCGTGACCCAATGCTCACTATATAGTGAGCTATATGCTGGGAGCGCCGCAGCCTGGACGGATCCCATCAATACTGTTGAGATCCACCCAGCTGGCTGTTTGACAGCGGGCTCTGCCTATCTGGAGGCAGAGCCAGCTGCGCCCGCCCCCTCGGGGAGGGTGGAATCCCTGCCGTCACCCGACAGTCGCTGCTCTCTGCAGGGCGATGATACGAAAGTGAGCAAGCGGTATGTGTTCACTCCCCGATCTAGCGTGCGACAGTTTCAATGTCGCACGTCGGCTCTAACTATGAGGATGAGTGGGAATCACTCACATCATAGTTCTCCTTTTAATGGATGTGTGAGGGGGAAAAAAAACACATTAAAAGTGAACTAACCCTATAAGTGAAAAGTTATGTGTCTTTATATAATCGCATTTGCTGTAAGTTTTACTTCATTTGTAGGCAGCGAATTCAGGAAATGGAGGAGGAACTGCAGAAAACAGAGAGATCCTTCAAGAACCAGGTAAGAGATTCTAAGCGTTCACCTGTTAATGTTCTTTGTTTTCACCTCTGCAGAGATTACACACATTTCACAGAAACCATTCTAATGTCTTTCTATGACCATTTTTGTCCACTTGCTTTTTTCAGATTGCTAGTCACGAGAAGAAGGCCCATGAAAACTGGGTGAGTGTTGATTTATATGGAGCTTACTGGGGTCATACTAGAAGTGTGGCCAATAATGCTGCAGAGCTAAGTAGAGCGATTTGCTGATGATTATTTAAGAGGATAAAAGCAGTTCTGCTGTTAAATGATAAGCAAACACCAGCATAACTTTATTCTTATCTGGATTAGATCTCTTAAAATCTAACCCCAGCCTATTTTTGTGGGTTCTAGCTAGGGTGGAAAGAGTTAAAAATGTTGTGTAGGTTTTTATTTGTCTGTAACCTCCACTGTGCAGCTTTTCCTGTCCCTATAAAATGTGCACAGTAGTTGGAGGGAGCAGTTGTCACCAGGACAGGAAGGCAGAGTCCGCTGTTAGGGCCAGTTCACACCACCCACAAAGAGTGTGTTCCAGAGCGTTTGGCCTCTGGAACGCAACCTGGCCGGCTCCCTGCGGCATTTTTGCAGAACGCACTGGACCAGAACTATGCGTTCGGGTGCGGGCAATCGCACTGCGCGGGGGGGTGGCTGCGGTGCCATTGACTTCACTGCACCACCACGCCCCTGAACGCAGGGAGCCGGCTAAGTTGCATTCCAGAGGCCGAACGCTCTGGAACGCACTCTTTGTGGTGTGAACCGGTCCTAAAATATGTTCGGACGTTCTAGCCCTTTTGTCACTTTGCTTTTGTCTGTATCTCCGTTGGAGAGTTTCCCATTGCTTCCTGCCTGACTGTAATCTTTCACTGTGTTCAAAATAAAATAAAAAGTTTTGGCTGGAGCTGGGCTTGCAGCTGTCATGGCAGACTGAAAACACCAGTGGAGGAGACAATCTGCCAATCCTTTATAAAAACTGGTACCCAATGATGCAATATTTGCAAGCATAGGCCTAAATTGCCTGAACGTCCCTTGAGTGTCAGACTGTGGGTGGGATCTGGCTATTAATATCGCCATCTTTACTCCGGTGCAATGGCCTCTTTGCTACACAGAGCCTTAATAGCTGTTATGCCCCAAATTAAGAGGTTTTTATAGGGAAACTATAACGTTTTTGGCCAGTGCTATTTAATTGTATTGTTTATTTTGTCACTTTTTTTATTGTGTAAAATGAATTCTGGGCTTTCCAGTAAGAAAGCCCAGTAATATCTGCCACTGGCTCACTTTTTAATTTTTTCAGCTTGTTGCTCGTACAGCTGAAAGGACCTTGGCAGAAGAGAAGCGAGAATGTGCAAACCTAAGACAAAAGTAAGTCCATTCTTGTTTATAATGATCACTGATCCTCGTTTTATAGAGGGTTAGGAGTTTTTAGTGATTGTCCATCTCTTTCTTACTCCAGGTTAATTGAAGTCAACCAAAAAGTTGCTACTCTTCAGAGACCAGCCATTGTAAAACCAACTCCCGGGAGACCTGAACACCAGCCCCCACCTAGGAGAGGTAAAAATCTCAGACCACTTCTCATCAGACTCCCTTAAAAGAGAACTATGGGGTAAGTGTTTTTCCCCATAGTTCTCTTTAGGGTCACTAGAGGACATATACTAACCTCTTCCCATGACCCAAAGCTCAGTATACCACGGGCTATTGCCTGCTATATACTAAGAGCGCCGCAGCTGGGATGGTTCCTGACAATATTGTCGAGATCCAACCACCTGCGTGAGTGACAGCTGGCTCTGCCTATCTAGAGGAAGAGCCAGCTGTGCCGCCCCCCTCCCCTGTTGTTCCTCCACTCAGCGCTGGAGGATCGGGGATGAGGGAATCCCAGCGGGGAGCGTTGACGACAGTCATCGTTCACTACAGGGAGACGATCGGGAAGTGAGCACCATGTTTCTGCTCACTTCCTGATTGATAGAGCCGACCTGTGACAGATTCTTTGTCACAGGTCGGCCCTAACTATGAGGATGAGTGGAAATCACTCACCTCATAGATCTCCTTTAACAATGGATCTTATTTCCTACACCAGTTTTGTTTCCCAAGTTCTCAATGCGCCATGTCGATTGTGTTCAAATGGAATGTTCGCTGTTTTCTAGGCATACATGTTAAGTTGCCTATACATATTTAAATCTGATTGCGCAATCTCGTGATCTCCAGTCATAAACTATGTAATATAGGGGGCTTAATTAAAAAAGTTGATCCAGTTTCTATCCAGTTGGGCAGACCTTCATACTGCTTAGTTGTAGGTAGACCTAAAAGGGATTGTAAAATCAAAGTGTGATGTGTATGGTCCCTTTAAAAGAAGAAAGCTTGTTGATAAGTAAACTTATCAGTGTGTGTTGATGTGTTAGAAAAGGGTATTTTTTGTGTTCCTGTAGTATCTTTTTCTTAAAAAGTTATTTGGGGGACACAGCTGGTGTATAAGCCCTGCCCCCTAGGAGGATGGACACTAAGCATAGGAGGGGCATTGCACCTCCCATCATGGACAGTACCCCCTACACTGGAAATGTAAGCCCTGTGTCCCCCAGTTTAAAGTTCAGAAATACCTTTCTTGGCAAACCTTAACTGTAACTAAAATTCTTTTAAATGTATATATTTTTTTAGAAAGAGCATTGGGGTTTAGTCTTACCCCTAAAAAGCAATTGAATGTTCTGTATGATACAGTATAGAGTTCATTTTTTTTTTTTTGTGTCTTTATAACTGCAGGTGCCCAGAGCAGAGATGGCTCTTTTGGTCCTTCTCCAGTGAGTGGGGGTGCCCCATCTCCTCCCATTATGATGGATGCATCTGTCCGATCAGCTTCTGCTAACCTCAACAGATCAGAGGACCTAAAGGGAAATATTGGTTAGTATCACATAACTAAACTTGCACTTTTTTTTGGCAGCTAGAGAAAATTATAGCTGTCTACAGATATAATGGCAGGATTGTAATAGCAATAAAGGAGAACTATGGGGTTAGGGCTTTTCCCCATAGTTCTCCTAAGGGTAACGGGAGGACACAAACTAGCGTCCCCCCGTCACCCAAAGCGAGCGAGCTACAGCTCGCGGTATACTGAGGCGCCGCAGCTGAAACGGATCCCGACAATTATGTCTGGATCCACCCAGCTGCGTGAGTGACAGCTGGCTCTGCCTATCTAGAGGCAGAGCCAGCTGTACCCGCCCCTTCCCCCGTCCGTTCCGCCAGTCAGCGCTGCAGGCACGGACAGGGGAGGGGGGAATTCAGTCCCTCGCCTGTCACTGCTCTCTGCAGTGACAGGATTGAGAAGTGAGCGGGCCCCGCTATGTGTTCGTTCACTTCCCGATCTACTGAGCCGACCTGTGACAGTCTCATTGTCACAGGTCGGCTAGAACTATGAGGATGAGTGAAAATCACTCACCTCATAGTTCTCCTTTAAAATTCGAAATGCTTATGCTGTGCGTGTATGTATATATATTTATGGGTGGCCCATGCTGTGCTGGATCGCTGGAGACCACAGTGAGTACAGCTCACTCAATGAATGGGGCTGCAGTGAGCATTCAGTAAGGAGAGGATTTTGTGGGGCACTTATGCTGCAATGGCTGGGCAGTTATTGGCAGGGCCACATAGTGAAGATCACTGGATTGGGAGTTGAAGGTAAGTATTTCACCAGGCAGGCTGCACTCGGGGGAGTAGGGGGAGATTAGTTAACCTTCCTGGCGGTAATCCTGAGTGTCAAAAATTTTCTTCCACTTTTTTCTTTTATTCTCTTTGCTTTGACTGAACATTTTTATTGTGGGGTTCAGGGGCTGAATCTTCATGAAAGGTCCCTAATAAGCCGAAGAAAGCCAATCTGTAGTTGCTATGAGTTACTGCACTTTGTTATTAAATAAAGATCCCTCTGATATAAAATCGTATTTGACCTGCGTTATATAAATCAAATAATGTCTTCAGACTTGTCATTTATTTCCTAAAAACCATTGCCAGGAAAAGGACATTTTATTTTCTTTGTAATGTGAATTTGCTCATAAAGAAATGATACTGCAGTTTTTATGTTGGTCTGCTAATCCTTTGAATCCCCAGTGACTCGCCAGTGACATCCAACTTATCTGAAGGGGGGAAACAATCAGACGCACTTTGGCTTGCTTTCTGTGCATTTTGTTTGATACTCATTAATGATCTCACTGAGAAAGCTTGTAGAGGGACTCTTAAGTAACAGAGTGATTTTCTTCCCATTACTCGTGCTTTGTCTGGCAAAACACAGACCCTGAGGGAGAGCTGGGAGCAGCAAGTGTGAGAGCCGACCTCCGTCCCTAAATAGCGTGCGTTTCATGAGCGGCGGTCAGGAGGAGGTCACATGTCTGAGTCACTGCCTCAATATCACTTTCATTGAATAAATCATTCATCTCTTGTTGCCACATTTCTCAATATCCGTGCTGGATTTGTGATTAATGCCATGTGTTTCTGATTCTAATATAACATGGGAATCTGGAGTCAGGGTTCTGGTGTGCCAGGTTCACATGAGGCTCCACTAACGTGTGGATTTCTACAAGGGAACGTGCAGGTAGTATGTGGGGGTACGGGCACAGCAAGTTGCATGAGATCACTTACAAGCTTGAAACTAGAGGTGCACCGAAATGGAAATTTCAAAACCGAAATAAAAAAAGTCAGACCGAAACAAATGTTGTTTTTTATTTACATTTTTTTAAATATATATATATATTTTTATAAACTTTTAAATTCTTTATTTATATTCATTTTTTATTAAATATTTCTATTTTTTACTTTAATTTTAGGGGCTTCGGTTAAATATTAGGGGTCTACACAGACCAGTGATATTTCCCTTTCAAAATAGAAAAAGAGATTGAGAACACAGAGTCCTCAATCTCTTTTTCTGCAGCCCTGTTATAAAAGAACAGGAATCCTCTATACTGAGTGTTCCTGTTCATTCATAACATGAGGACAGAGTATGTTTACTATATCCACAATCATGAATGAACAGGAGGTGATGTAGATCACTTCCCATTCATTCATTCATTCATAATTGAGGATATAGTCCACATACAATGTCCTCAATTATGTACAAACACTCAGCGATCACTGATCACTGAGCCAGGAAGCAGCACAAGGAGCCAGTTAGTTGTGGCCATGTCCTCAATTATTTACAAACACTCAGTGATCAGTGATCGCTGAGTGTTTTGTACTCGCTCTCCTTCCTGACAGTTTTCACAGGAGGCTGAGCGAGCGGAGCAGGGAGGAGAGCTCAGCCTCCGGTGACAGCGCAGGCTGTCTCCGCCCACACACCGCTCTGCCGGACTGTGATATGCGGCTGAGCGGTGTGGGAGGAGAGACGCCGGCCGTTCACAGCACTCTCCTCCCGCAGCACTCGGCCGCCTGTGACACTTTCTCTCCTCCCCGCTGGGACACAAAGCACCGCCCAGCGGGGAGGAGAGAAAGCAGGAATGCGCCGCTGTATCGGCATTATACCAAAAGTGCCATATTCGGCCGATATATCGGTGCATCCCTTCTTGAAACTTTACATTATCTAAACCATCATTTAAAGCAGGCAGATATAAAAGACAAATGAAGGCAGCTCTGTATTTAATTGAATGAATTTTAGGTGCAAGCAGGTAAATATGAATTTCACTTGCTATCACCCTTTTGCAGTCAATGTGCAGCGTAGCTCAGACTTGGAGTGGGAAGCAGCACAAGGAGCCAATTAGTTGTGGCCATTCCTTACTCTGAAACAAAAACATTTTCACTATAAATACATACATATATTTGGCTATGAATACGCACGGCAGGTGCTCTAAGATGTTAAAAACTGACTGAAACCTAACTTCAAGGTCTTTGTTGTGATCTTTGAGGATGAATTACTTCACAGTACATGCAGCTACACAGGTCAGTGAGAGCTTGTGTAGAAAAACCAGTTAGTTTTAACAAACGTTGAGTTCCATTTAAAATGTTTCCATACCTGTGTCGGGCGGACATGATGTTTGCAAATTTTTAATTTTTGTCTGAAATTGTTGTGCTGAATGTTTCATGTATGTATCCCACAGGCGGAATGGATGCTCCTTCGGGGTCCAGACGTCCTCCACATGATATGTCTGGAAGAATATCGGCTCCTGGTGAGTACATGTGATTGCTTACTGTCTCACGGGGGCCACTGCTTTCTAGCTATATTTCTCTGTCACCCTGCATTTGTACCACTTAGGCACGTATATTACTCTATTATAGACCACTATACTTTACTCCTCGCTCTCCTGGCAGCCGGCAGTTTCCACAGCTTCCACAATGTAGTCGGAAAACTGACTTCTTACATGCAGGACCGCATGTCCTTCATTGTATGTATTGACGTTGGTGAGGGGGTGGCCTCAAAAACAGCATTCATTGGCCTCTACAGAAACAGTGACTGTCCGTGTAGACACGAGACTGGAGCTTTTATCTCTTCCTGCTCACAGTCTGTAACTTAACCTTCCTCTTCAGCATGCCCAATGCTGAGTATATGTTAATCTATATCCTCCCTATGACAACTAGCAGCCAACACTGTACGTGGTAACTAGCTGCCAGACTTGTCTTTCATTGACACCTTCGATCCCCGATCAGGAACCTGATGGTTCTGGATCATGTGATCGCTATGTGAGATATGGCGTAGTGACCGCATGGAGGCAGGAAGGCTTCATTCACAAAATAAACCTTTAGTGTGCAGATGCCACTGCCACATACACCACAAAGTGTGACTTTGTTTAATACCGTAATTGCCATACAAATACAGTGTTGGTAAAAAAAAATCCCATAAACAGTTTAAAAAATAAAAACTCTTTGTGCTTTGGTGTGAGCCTATACAAAATATTGAGTAGGATTTTTACTGAAACAATTTAAATATTAAAGTAGACAATTAGTCTGAAATTATGGTCCGGTCTAACTGATGTATTCTGACCCGATACATTTACCGTATTTGCCGGCGTATAAGACGACCCCCCTAATTTTTCAGTTAAAACATATAGGTTTTGGGCTATACTTGTCGTATAAGAGTATAGCCCACAATAATTTTTAAATAAACCCACTAATCTGTCAGCCCGCTGGATGTGCGGTAATACTGTATGTACGGTAGCTTCGGCATACATACAGTATACCGCGCTGAGCCAATCACGGCGAGCGATGTATTCTATTAATGAATACAAAGCCTGCTCGTATTGGCATAGGTTGTGTACATCGCTCGCCGTGATTGGCTCAGCCCGGTATAGTGTATGTAGCCATACAGTATTACCGCACATCCAGCGGGCTGACAGATTAGATTGTATACCCGGTAGCCTTGACATCTAGGTTTTTAATGACACACTAGATCAGGGGTGCCCATTAGGTAGATCGTGATCTACCAGTAGCTCTCAAAGCTGATGCTGGTAGATCACGAAGGGTGTGAATGGCGGCCCCTTTATTCCATTTTGGTATATTTATCTAGCTGTGCACACATGATTACATATTAGCCTGAGTCTGCTGAGCCAAGCTCCCTGACACCTTTCTGGTGGTTGAAGTGCAATGTATTATATCAAAGAATATTCGTTTACACAGCCTGTTGCAAAATACAACAAGGTGAGCCAGGAGAGAGAGCGGGGAGAGACAGACAAGAGAGCGAGGAGAGACAGCCAGGAAAGAGAGAGAGGAGAGACAGCCAAAAGAGTAAAGAGAGAGAGGAGAGACAGACAGGAGAAAAAAACGAGGAATGACAATCAGGAGAGACAGAGTGAGGAAAGACAGTCAGGAGGATGAGCAAGGAGAGACAGCCAGGAGAGAGAGAGCGAGGGAGTTTTTTTTCCCCGTTGGTAGATCTCATGTAGCTCATCATTTGAAAAGTAGATCTTAACACAAAAATTGTGGGCACCCCTGCACTAGATGATGGGACCTTATTTTATTGCCCCATCTGACATTCACTCTCTTCACTCATTTGTTCTGTGAGCCTGCCAAGTAACGACTGCTAATTGCAGAGGAAAATGAGGAGCTTTCCCACATCCTGTATGTGATTATCAGAAGAGTCCAGAGCATCTGGGAAATATGTTCTTTAGAAGTGCAGAACGTATACATTCTATGCTCCTATGGAAATATTCTGCCTTCCAGCTGCCATGCCTCCTGGCCCTTGACGTGACATTCCTCTCTTTCTTTCAGTGGATCTGGGTCACTCCTCAGCTATGTTGAACAGCGGCCCGAGGACATCATCACCCTCTGTGGACGGATTGGTGAGTAGTTTTGACATACATGATCCTCTCTTTCTTATTCATACATGTCATCCTGTTTCTGTGTGTATCTGTATGACTCTCTAAATCCATTTCTTCTCATAAAACAAAAAGCCAAACCCATCCATTGAGTCTGAGGCTCCTGTTATGCCTGATAGTTCTCAGCACCTCGAGGAATCTCCAGCAGTGAGTATGAGAAGCTGTGCATCGGGTTGGGTGCTCACTTAATGCCTCTGGTGGGGGGCGCCGGTGTTAACATTGCATGGACTCAACCATCCTTCCAGGAAGGCAGAGCTTTTCTCTTTTTTTCTTCCTCTACTAACAATGCCTAGAGCTCCTTCTGGGGACATCATCTCTCGTGGGGATTGCTTTTTTTGGGTGGGAATTGGCTCGTTTAATCACCCACCTGCTCTACAAAACAAAAAAAGAAGGGGGTTCATGGATGGCGAAATCAACCTGCTTTTAGATTCTGACTTCATTCTATAACATGGCTACTAAAAACTTTGTGGCCTGTATGGGAGGATTTGTGGCTTCTATAGGAGGGGTTGTGGCACCTGAAATGATTAAAGCCACGTTTGTTCCAATGCCTTTATATAGGCTTTGTACGAACAGTGTCCAGAAATGTGTAGGCTCTGCTCATAGCTGTATTCCAGACATAAATGAAAACCAGTTCCTGCTGGTATGCATTCAATAAAAACATTGCATATTTAAAGATGGCGAGTGTAAGGAGCTGGGTTTGACCTGGTTTCATCCTTCCGCAACTTCCTGTACAGAAGAGCTCAGAGTGAGAGTTGGAGAAGCAGCATAGGGAGCCAGTCAGTTGTGCTTGTGTGCTAACAGGGAACATGCTGACAGAAGGATAAATAGGCTGCCGCTTCTCCTAGCATCAACTATTGGGGACATGGCTGCTTGCTGTACACAGCTGGTTATTGGAGTACAGTTTAAGGACCCGGCTTTCAGAGCTGTCAGGTGACAGAGAAATTAGTGGAGCAACTGACCAAGGTAGTTCAGTAGGGGGATAGGTGACCCCATTGATTAGTATAAAGCTAGCCTACATATACTGTATGCTGGATCTGTGGTGGTGGGGAGGAGGGGTGAAGCTTGCCTCTCAGGGATAGCAGCTAGATTTGCCCTTAATTTATTTTTGATTGAAAAGATTCTGGGTGATTAAACCGGACATCCTATTAAAGACTAAAACATTCTAATTTGGACTAAGGTATCTCTCATCCAGGTCCGTGTCTGCCATTGTGTGGGAATGTTGTCTGGTAATTTTGTCATCTACATTTGTTTGATCCTGTTGTGGGAGGAAAGTCTGAACTGCCAGCCCCCCTTGTGGAAATGTTTGTGAGAATTGCAGAAGGGGGTCGGCCTGTATATTTCTGTCCTTAGAAACTCCTGTTGACCTAAGATTGGGCAGAAATGGGTAGATCCGGAACAGAGATTGAATCTTGTGACTCCATTAGCAATGAGAGGCTCTTCCCAATAAGCACACATGGGATTTTCCAACTAGTCCGAAGCACCTCATTGTTCATAATCCCTTGGTGGCTTGTCAGATTTTATTGGGCACCTGGCTACCATCAGTTGGCATCTGGTTCCTTTTTGTTGTGTTACAGCCATCAGTACACAAGGATAGGTGCAGTTATAGAGTCGTACTGTGATACTTTTTCTGAAAAGGCTTCCTGCTGGGGCCTCTTAAATCCCAGGCACAGGTTATATAAGGGACTCCCCTTTAAAACCTTTCCTGGTGACCTCCCTGGCTTTCAGTGGTCAGATGCCAATAAGACTAATGGACAATTGCAGTTCTGACATTTGACAACAACAAAGAAGGCAATCTATGTTTGGTAGGGATGACAGGCCTTAGAGGACCTGACCTCTGGAAGCAGTGCCCAAAAAAAGTCAGGCAAAGGACTAGTCATCAGTATTGCCTGAGGTCTCATTCCCCTATTACTGACTTGCCATGCTTTGTTCTTTACTGCGTCCCTATATGGAGGCGGCCATCTTGGTAAAGGCAGGGCTTTGCTTCCGCTTCCTTAAGTCAGAGCTTCCAGCAAGGATAACATGGAGCAGCACAGTAATGACATCCCCAAATCTTCAGATCTCCTGAGACTAGCAGTCAGGGGCCACAGTGCCTTAGATTTCAAGCTGCATATATGAGGCTGTAGAAACATACCAAGAAGTGCTCCATTCTTTAATGAGGCTACTCCACTGCACTTGTGGGAATCCTTCAAAAGGTTCAGAACTCCCACTTAGCAGTGATTTTTATTATCACATGATCAGTCTCATACTTGATATGGGGTATCTGACACCCCTTCAGAGGAGTGGCTCTCTTTTCAGGTATTTTCCCCATAGATGAGTCTTGCAGTACAGGGACCCCTAATTATATGATGTGCCGTCTCATACAGCAGGCTGCCTGTAGCTGTACCTGGGCCCGTAGCTGTACCTGAGCCCGCAGCTGTACCTGGGCCCGTAGCTGTGCCTGGGCCCGTAACTGTGCCTGGGCCCGTAACTGTGCCTGGGCCCGTAGCTGTGCCTGGGCCCGTAGCTGTGCCTGGGCCCGCAGCTGTGCCTGGGCCCGCAGCTGTGCCTGGGCCCGCAGCTGTGCCTGGGCCCGTAGCTGTGCCTGGGCCCGCAGCTGTGCCTGGGCCCGCAGCTGTGCCTGGGCCCGTAGCTGTACCTGGGCCCGTAGCTGTACCTGGGCCCGTAGCTGCATTAGTGTTTGCATGGAAAATAAGTTTATTCTAGCCATTTAAAAAAATCATGGCTGCCTGCAGATTGAAATGGGGATGTCACTTTTTAATAACATTGAATGACAGGATGGTTTCTGTATCGGGTTTATGGAGTTTTCCTTTAATGGATGCAATGGACGGGGAAAGTACCAGCATGCTTTGTCACAGCGGGAACATAGCAGCCCAAGTCTGTGTTGGTGTGCAGTGTCGCCGCTAGCAATTCATACCGCTCATCTGCATCCTCTGATATGGGATTCTTATCTGGTCTTTGCTCGGATAGTTAGGAATAAAATGATTTCCTGGCACCCCGGGGGGGGGGGGGAGGAATCTCTCTTACTAACTCTTCAACAGGTGAATGTTGCATACATGTGAATGTCATGCTCCTTAAAAGTACATTGTGGGCATGCCTCAGTGGGATGAATTAACTCCCGGGTGCATGCATGGGAGTTATGTAACGCTGACCCGGTCATTCAAGATGGCCAAACACAGGGGATCAGACGAAGATGTCAGCTGGGATGTCTCATCACTGGAGGGAATGTAAGTATTGGTTGCTGAGAGGTATGAAAGGGCAGGCCATGTCTTCTCAAAGCCCAGCTACACCCTAAACTTTTTATTTCATTTTGAATGCAGCAGAGACGGGTGGATCCTCTGTCCGGAATGGAGACAAAATACATTATTGGTAGATTGGGGGAAGGGCTTGATATAGTTACTGCTGTCTGTGTTTTGCTGTCCTGGGGACACTGGCACATACCAATTTCTTACACAGGTTTTAAAAGGACAGGAAGTGGGGAAAATCTCCAATTGTCACAGACAGAAATGTGAATCTTCTAAAATGTTAACTCTTCTTCCCTCCAAGAAGTTGGTTAACTCCTAAAGGAGGGCTCCGTTTTTACCTTTTCCTCTAGTTTGGTCTTCTTTGCTCCATCTCAGGAGAACATCAGTGCAAGTCACCTTTCCCACCAGCTAACCTCCCAGAGCTGCCTCAGAAATGCAGCACTACACTACCATAAAATATACAAAAAGGGACTATTCATCAACAATGTGCAGGGTACCGTACCCCGTCATTATCTGTGAATGTTCGTTTTGCGAATAATGATAAAAACGAACAGTTACTATATTTTCTTTGCGGGTTGAATGTATTTTCATGTAGTACTACATTATTATTTCATGCAGTACTACATTATGGCCACTAGATGGAGTTGAAGAGCATATGATTTCCTGTGCTCCTTCGCTCCATCTAGTGACCATTGTACATGAACATTTTCCCTTGTTCATCACACACTCAGCAATCACTGATCACTGAGTGTGTGTATCTTGCTTTTCTTTCTGACACGCTGTCACAGGAGGCTGATCGAGCGGTGTAGAGAGGAAAGCCCAGCCTCCTGTGACAGCGCTGTCTCCGCCCCCACACCGCTCTGCCGGACTGTGATAGGCGGCTGAGCGGTGTGGGAGGAGAGACGCCGGCCACTCACAGCGCTCTCGTCCTGCAGCGCTCGGCCGGCTGTCACTTTCTCTTCTCCCCGCTCGGACATAGAGCAGCGCCCAGCGGGGAGAAAAGAAACCAGGGATGCACCGATGTATCGGCAGGAAAATGGCTCTTTCGGCATTATGACAAAAGTGCCATTTTCGGCCGATATGTTTCGGCGGCCGATATATCGGTGCATCCCTAATCTATACGGATAGTATGACAACCTACTGACTTGGTGATAGTCACAGATTGGATTCCACTCTGAGTCTTCTTATCGAGTTGAACACTATGTAGTTAATTTGCCTTCTCACTACAGAGGATGTGATTCCTTGTCATTCTTAGAGTGAAAAGGCAATCCTATCTTTGCCATTACCAGGTTAACAGAGACCCTCTTACCTCAGGGAGGGGTGATGCTGAAAGAGGAAGAAGAAAGGAATGACTGGGAAGGTCTAGCAGAAGACTGTACCAATGTACAGAAAACAGCAGTGGTGAAGGGAAAATACCAAGTATGCCCACATTAGGCTGTAACAATGCTCATCTACCCCTAGTAGCCGGAAATACAGCATAACACAAGGAAATGCAATGATAGAGATATGCAGTGTAACTGAAACGGCAGAAATAATAAATATTACACTGGATGTGGCAGCACGTAAGGAGAGGAGGAGCAGTGATAATAGGAGAGAACTCCGCCAGGACTGAGTCAGTGCAGTAGAGGCAGAGTTGTCAGGTAAAACAGGAAGTAAGGAGCTCGCTGTACTTCTGACATGTCAGCAGGTACTTTTCTGTATTGATTGGTATGATTTTATTTCTTTATTTTGCCCTGACATACAATTGAAGGAAACCAGTGCTGAGAAAAGCTGCTGACCTCTCCTAAAACGGATGCTGATTTACTGACTTCAGAGCAAGCATGCAGCAAGTCAGAAGCCCGGTCTGATTGTTCTGGGTTAATGGCTCGTGTATTTAGCACTCATCAGGTGGAGTCAGCAGTGGCAGCTCCCCGTCCGCTCCGGTTTTACCATAATACTTCAGCCGGGCATTGCAGTGCGGCATGCTCGCGGTTGTTTGGTTGGCCTGCTTAACCTCCCTGGTTGTGTCCAATGAACATGGCTGACTTCCTGTGTCTGCTTCGAGTGGTTTTATGTTTGACTTGTATCCGGGTGTATAAGACTTGTATGATAGGTCTCTGGGTGAAGAGATTGCTTTGTGTTTTTACAGGTCATGCCTGTAGCTAAAGGTCCTCCGTCATTTCCTGGCACTCCGGTGATGAACTCCCCGGCAGGCGCTCCTATGATGTCACAGCCTCCTGGCCGTCTGATGGGTCCAACTCCACCAAGAGGACATTTCGGGGCTCGATCACTGCCTCCAGCACAAAGTAGGGATATCATTATAACATTCTACAGCTCCTTTCCTGAGCCTGTTACCCCTCTGTGTTCTCCTTTTGTATCCGTACAGATATTTAGTTTTTGTTGCATTTCACTTTAACATCTCCGAGCACTTTTCATGTACTGAGCTCTATATCCCAGCACACCTGCTAATGAGGGACCCGGACTTCTGAAGTTTCAGCTTTAAGACAAAGCAGCACCATAACTCTTCTGTACATCCCTCCAGGAACCAAGAACCTCTGTTATTCTGTTGTAGGGAGCCTGTAAATCACTCTGGAACCAGCAATCTTTGCTGTACTGCATATTGATGGGAACCTGTACATCCCTCTGGGCACCAGGAACCTGTGTTATACTCTATAGGGAGCCTGTACATCCCTCCAGGACCTAAGAACCTGTGTTATACTCTATAGGGAGCCTGTACATCCCTCCAGGACCTAAGAACCTCTGTTATACTCTATAGGGAGCCTGTACATACCTCCAGGACCAACCTGTGTTATACTCTATAGGGAGCCTGTACATCCTTCCAGGACCTAAGAACCTGTGTTATACTCTATAGGGAGCCTGTACATCCTTCCAGGACCTAAGAACCTGTGTTATACTCTATAGGGAGCCTGTACATCCTTCCAGGACCTAAGAACCTGTGTTATACTCTATAGGGAGCCTGTACATCCCTCCAGGACCCAAGAACCTCTGTTATTCTGTTGTAGGGAGCCTGTAAATCCCTCAGGAACCGGCAATCTTTGCTGTACTGCATATTGATGGGAACCTGTACATCCCTCTGGGCACCAGGAACCTCTGTTATACTCTATAGGGAGCCTGTACATCCTTCCAGGGTGTATTAGCCCACCAGGCAGTGTGAAGCCACATAAATCAGCATCCAATCATATTACACATTTCATTTGATTATATATTTTTATTTTGTATGATTTATACATGTATCTGAAATAAAACAAATGCTCCGGTTATACAGTTTTGAGCTACGATATAGTGAAAGTATTTCTTGTGTTTCCACCTTGGGGAACGATTTCTCTTTGTGGTCTGATTATAAGGTGGAGTCATTTCTAAGAAAGCCATCCGAATGTGTTTTGTGGCTGGAGCAGCTCGCCTCGTCATACTCACACCTTGTTTACTCTCTTGTATTGGAGGAGAGAGCAGGGAGAGCCCATCGCTGACCTGTCAGAGGAGGAATTAGGTTACAGATTCCTTGGCAGGGTGGAGGCATCTGAGGGCAGAGGAGCATTGTAAGAATCCGCAGCATGGGATTTCTGGGAGAGGAGAAATATTGTTGGGGAAAGCCATGAACTAGCGAAGCCGCATCTGGTCCAAGGGGTTTGGGCCGGCAGAGAGACAGTTTGTTGGACATGTTGGAGGACTGTGCAGGGAACGCAGTGCGTGTAACCCGATGACGGCAGAATGGTCCAATCAGAAGACAAGTTAAAAATATAGTGGGGCTTGTGCACACGGCTCTACTTAACTCTGCATCTCTCATCACGGTTTTGGTGAGAAATGGAGAATAAAGTGAGACAACGCAGGATATAACGTATTTTAGTTTTGGGGATAGCGGGTAAGGGAAATCTCTCCAAAGTGAGGTGTAGCTTCTCTTAGATGTCCCCACGGAAAGATTTACCCTCTATTCCTGTTCTGGTGACCCTCGGCTTCAGCCTTTCCTGTGGCTTTATGAATGTTTTCATCCGAGTCACTGGAGAGATAACAAAACCCACAAAGTAATACACTCCTAAAACTGAAATTGGGATATCTTGAGGCCGGCCCGGTGGCCTGTACCCACAACGCTGACTCTGTACTCGTATTGTTGAATGGAGTAAACTTAGACTGGCAACTTTTCTTATCGTTTTGGTTTCTTTTGTTTCAGTGCACGGTCCCTCACCGGTTCCAAGAGATTACCCACCGAGACCTCTGCTACCACCTGGTGGAATGCCTCCTCCTGATCCAAGGGGCCTGATTCGAGGGCCGTTACATCCTAGAGAATACCCTCCGGGCCCTGTTCCATTGCATGGCCCTAGGGACTACCCTATACCACCGCCAGGAGCCAGAGACTTCCCACCAGGGCTGCCACCTCCTGGACCCAGGGACTTCCCGCCAGGCCCACCCTTTCCTGGATCCCGGGATTTCCCACCTGGTCCCCCTCCACCCGGAGCCCGAGATTTCCTTCCAGGTCCTCGGGACTTCCCACCTGGTCTTCCACCCCCAGGAGCTCAGGAGTTTCCTCCAGGAAGGAGGGACTTCCCACCAAGCGCCAGAGATATTCCACCAGGGCTTCCTCCCCCAGGAGCCAGAGACTTCCTACCAATACTGCCTCATCTTGGTTCAAGAGAGTTCGTCCCAGGACTCCCACCTCCTGGAGCGAGGTTCCTACATGGGCCACCACCAGGTTCTAGAGAATTTCTACCAGGTCCTCCACCGCATGGCGCAAGAGACTTTGCTCCAGGTCCCTCACATACAGGAGTAAGGGACTTTGTACCAGGACCACATCCTGGGGTACCCGCTTGGCCTTCATTACCTGATCAGCGACCTGTCCCGCCAGGACACAATCCACCATCACAGACAGACAATGAACAGTCACACGCTCATCACAAACCCTCAAATTAGGCCGATCTCCCGGCACAGATCACTCATATAATGGATACAGTTACCGGTTTACAAAAACTTGCAATTTATTATTTCACGTGTCTTATATTTGCAATATTTTATTCTATAAAACCTCCTTTACAAATTTTAATTGTTAATTATTTACAGATTAAATTTTTTTTTTGTGCTTTTTTTTTTTTTGAATTATGAAACAGGATTTTTTGGGGGGTTGTTGCGTTTTTCAAGCGTGCAATAAAAAAAAACCCCAACATCTTTCATTTTAATTCTGCTCCTTTTTTCCGGATTTAAAAAAAACAAACTTCTTATTTAAATGTTCCGCGTGCAGCCAGGACTTGGGGAAAGAAATGAATGTCTGAAATCTGTGGAAAAAACAAACATTTCCTGTGGAAATACATTATTCTAAGAATATCATTATTCTGATTGGTTTCCCACACTCGGCTGGCTTAATTCTATTCTATACCACTGGTTTACATTGGACAGAGACTTGGTTTTAACGTCTGGGACTGAGGAACCAGAAAGAAAGCATCATGTATGTTGGAAATAATTATAATAAAGAATTGAAAATGGAAGTTGTGTGCCTCAGTGATTTGCATGTCTAGCAAAGTGTTGAAACTGATATAAGACACAAATAAATGCGGCTCGGTATTAACAGTATTCAGGTTTGTTTTTTTAATGTAAGCATTGTAAGTTCCTGAACTAGACTGGGTATCGGACTCTACAGCAGAACTTAGACTGGGAGGGAGAGAAGCAGCAAAGTTAGCCGATCAGTTAATATGTTAACAAGGAACATGCTGATAAGAAGTGACAGAGAGACGACCTTATGAGTCTGCTGCTTCTCCTATCACTGTCCTGTCACAGGCTGGGGAGGGACAACACTTGAGTGTTAATGAGCAACAGCAGAGAAAAATCTGGTCTGCTGCTCTGCCAGACAAGGCTGTGCTTTGTGGCAGAGCTGTGTAAATCTCAGGACCGAGCTGGAAATAAATACAAATCCGGTAGAACGGCTCCCATATACAGGTGAAACTCGAATAATTAGAATATCGGGCAAAGTTCATTTATTTCACTAATGCAACTTAAAAGGTGAAACTAATATATGAGATAGACTCATTACATGCGTGGCAAGATAATTCAAGCCGTGATTTGTCATAATTGTGATGATTATGGCTTACAGCTCATGAAAACCCCAAGAACCCCAAATCCACAATCTCAAAAAAGTAGATTATTACATGCAATCAATAAAACAAGGATTGTACATAGAACAATATCGGACCTCTGAAAAGTACAAGCATGCATATGTACTCAGTACTTGGTTTGGGCCCCTTTTGCAGCAATTACTGCAATTACTTTTGCACGATATTCTAATTATTCGAGTTTCACCTGTACACCGCTCAGCCATAACATGATGACATTGGTTTGCAGGTTCATCCCAATGCACATGTCTAGTTCTCAGTATATTTTCTTTTCAGGTAGAATGCAATGTGATGTAATACCACATTATGGCCACTAGACTGCGCTAAGGAGCATAGGAAGTGATTTTTATTTTCAGGTCACCGATCGGCCATAACATTCTGACCACTGAGAGGTGAAGTGAATAACATTGATTATCTAGTTACAATGGCACCTGGGGGGGGG